TTACGGGGTAGTAACCGTTACGTAGTGGTTTGGTTCCGTTAACTTAGTCCTCGGTTCGTTTTGTTCTGGTAAGGACTAGGCCGTTCTGAGCTCTGTATATGTGAGTGTATGTGTGTGTGTGTGTGTGTGTGTGTGTGTGTGGTTGCAGGTCAGTGTGTGTGTGGTTGCAGGTCAGTGTGTGTATGTACAGTGAGCAGTGCTGCTGTGGAGTGTGTGCACATGTGCTTACACGCTGATGGGTGTGCACATGTGAGTGGGGGGCATATGCATGTGTGCACTTGGCAATGTGCGTGTGTGAAGATGTGTGTGCAGGCATGGATGTGTGTGCGTGCATGTGTGTGCATCCCTGGGTACTCGGGGAAACTCCTCTTCCCTCCTTCCCCAAGACCCCTGAGTTGAGTTCAGGGCATCCTCACGCCCATGCTCCCTTCCCTTCTTAACCTCCTTCCACCCAGCAAACCATAGCCATGCTTTCAAGGCCCTTCCCCAGTGGCCCCAGTCTTGCCATTTTCTCCTACACCCTCCTGTCCTTTCCTCCCCTCACTTCTCCCCTGGCAAAATATGTGTCTGTCATCAGTGTTTTTACCGTGACACATTTTCGTTAGTTAGTTCTCTGATCATTCTAGCTTTACAGGTGTTTCACATGGGAAATGCCTTTTCATTTTACGCTAGCCTGAGCCACCTCCATTTTTCATCTGGGTTCCTGCCACAGTCTCTTAACTGGTTACCGCCTTCTATCTTTGTCTCCTGATTCACTGGTAGCCAGGATGATCTTTTTAAAGCATAAATCATCTCATGTGCCTCCCTGTTTAAAACCCTCTCTTGGCACCCATCTCACTCAGAGTAAAAGTCAGCGTCCTCACCGTGGCCTGTAAGCGCTGTGGGATCTGGCCCTGTACCTCTGGGATCTCATCTCCTATAATCTCTCCTCCTTCACCACGCTCCAGATCTCCAGAATCCTTACTGTTGCTTGAATCAGCCAAACTAAGTGTTTGCTGTTTGCCTCAGGACCTTTTCACGTGCGGTTTCCCGTTCCTGGAACACTGTTCTCTCAGCTATCTGCACAGCTGGTCCCTTCTCATCACTCAAATGTCACATTTTCTGAGAAGCTTTCCTTGAACATCCTTAGTGCAGCCGTTCCTCCCACCAAGTCCTTCTCCACTCCTTTCACTGTTTAGTTGTCTTTACATCATGTATTACAACCTGAAATGTTTTCAATGCTTCTTGGATTAATGATGGTTTCCCCCAACAAACTGTCAGCTCCACGAGGGCAGGGACTTTGTCTTGTTTCTGACTCACTGAATTCCCCATGCCCAAAGTGATGCCTGGCACTGAGAGGTGCTCTACAGTAACTGTTGGATTCATGAAAAATGAACATTGATTTTTAACTGTATACACTCTTGTTATAAGAATTATAACGATCCTTAAATGTGTAAGTGAGAAATGAAAATCTTGTAAGTCTTATAAGCCCACCCTTAGATATTCACTGGTAATGGTTTGGTTTATTAGTCCTTGAAGATAAATATGGATAATAGCTAGTTAGTTAGCTAGCTAGCTAAATACATATGTATACGTAGATACACACACACATATGTATACATTTATACACATATATAAAATCATGGATGGTTTTTTATATCAATACATAGAACTCACCTTCATCTTTTGGGACCACTGTGCAATAGCCCATCGCATAGAGACAATTTATTTAACCAAGCCCCATGGCTGGACATTCAGATTATGCCCTCGCTGCACTTTGAGCATCTTGCGTCATAGCTGGATAATAGCAGCCTGTACACATATCTTTCTCCCTCACAAGATCAGGGCCCTCCAAGGGGAGCAGTGGTTTCTTATTTACCTCTGGGCCTCCAGGGCCCAGCCCAGCACAGAAACCCCACTGGCAGAGCAGAGTAATAAGTTCTCCAACAAAGATCTGCCCAGCAGGCCATGGGAAGCAGAGGAGGAGGAATGAATTAAAGATGCTTGAGCAATTTATGAAGA